ACCACAATTTCAAACACAAAGGCAGATGAGTTCACACTTCTTAAAAATAAACAAATGTGCCCTGGCTGGTTTAGCTCAGTGGTTAGAGTGTTGGCCCGCGGACCAGAGAGTCCCGGGTTCGGTTTCTGCTAAGGGCACGTACCTTGGTTGCAGTTTGTTCCCGGCCCTGGTTGGGGTCCTGTGGGTGGCAGCCACTCGATGTGTCTCTCTCACATCGATGTTTCTCTCTCTCTCTCCCTCCTGCTCTATCTGAAGATGAATGCAGAGAATGTCCTTGGGTGAGGATAAAAAAAAGTGTGAAGTGCCCTGGCAGGTTTGCTCAGTGGTTAGAGCGTCGGCCTGCGGTCCTGGGAGACAAGGGTTTGGTTCCCGCTAAGGGCGCGTGCTTCGGTTGCAGTCTGTCCCCGGCCCTGGTCGGTTGTGCGGGTGGCAGCCACTTGATGTGTTCCTTTCCCATCGATGTTTCTCTCTCTCTCTGTTCCTCTCTCTCCCTCCCACTCTACCTGAACAAAAAATGGAAAAATGTCCTCGGGTGAGGATAAAAAAAAAAAAAAAAAAGTGTGAAGTGTTAATTATAGGTTTCCACAGTAAAACATCTTATAAGGTGTCATAGATAAAATTTCAAATACATCCACTAATGTAAGCACTGCAAACTACTCGTAGTGACAGGATTACGTGACAGGATTACGTGGCTCAGGATTACGAACACGGTACCTCAGGCCTTTCGAGGGGTAACTTGTCCCAGATTGGCATGAGAGAAGAAAAAGTAGAACTTATTTGTGCTAGAAGTCATCAAATCTTTATTCTGATCTTGGTTATTGATTCAAGAATTGCCAGTGTCTTTTTCAACTGAAAGTGCAACGGAAATGTGTCCACAGGTTTACACAGTTGAAACGTTTAAATGTACAAGTCTAAGATCATATTTCAGTAGCCTAAACAGTACTGCCAGTACAGAGCAATAGGGGACAGGGAGATAGTTTTCACAGTAAAACATCTTATAAGGTGGTAAAGCCACCTCCCTGTGTGCCCACAAGTGCTGGCACTGACATCTTCATCCTACCTGGGCACTACTGCTGCAAAGGATACAGTAGATTAGATACTGATTGATCCCACATTTTACACATTTTCCTTGTCAAAAAATCCATGAGCCCTGGCCGGTCATGAGAAGCTGCCTGGATACATATTTAAATTGTATTGCAAATCTTCTCAGAGCCTTTATTATGCTAATGTCCGCGGTGCCGGTTCCGGAGAGTCTAGTACATGGCAGGCTCTGAAGAGGTCTGAACGGAGTATACTTGCCTGGGATACGTGTGGGGAAATGCTGGGTCTGATGACAGGCTCGAGGGAAGTAATACACATGATGAGAGAATTTTAAAATTGTACTCACAGTTCCATGTTGAAAAACCATGTGTTTTTCTGTAGGAAGGTGGCTAGTGATTAAGAAGAGCACAAGCTTCAGGCAAAACAAAACAAAGCAAAATTGGATTCAAATCCCAGCTCTACCCCCTCGTAGGTGTATAATATGGGCCATTTAACCAAAATTGGTTTCAGTTTTCTGTCTACCATAGTAAATTGAGCCAGAATTACAGGACACAATATCTAATTGTATCAATTTAGAGTAGCCAGGAGACTGAAAAGACAACACTTATTTTATCAGAGATATTAATAAAGAGTTGTTAACTGAAGAGTAGAAAGAAGAACATGAGGATATCTCAGAGGTACCAATGCAGGAGGCAACTACCATCCACAGGGCTGGAGAGACAAAGTCAAGAAGTTGAAATTACAAGAATTTAGAAGTTTGGAAGAGGGGCCCCAAAGAGCTGCAACACTCAGACCTCTGCGGACAGGGTGCTGCTGGGCTGGGGCTGGTGCCCTGAAGTGGGTGGGGGTGAGGAAGCAGGTTCCAATCTGGATTTAACTGCTGCTCCTGGAATCAACCACACTGCCAAGGTAAAGAAGAGAGGCTGTGGTGATGGTCACAGGAACAGAAAAGCTGCAGGAGACAGGAAGGAGCAAATCCCTCCTCCCTCCTATCTTCCTGTCTCCTTCTATTGCTCTGATTTGCAAAACCTTATAGGAGTCAGCAGACAAAACCTAAGTGTGGTTTGCAGAGTCCTACCCCAGCATCACAAGCAGAGCATAGGAGGGTGGGTTTGAAGTTGAGAGACAACAGCTTAATTGCTGGCACAATTACAAAGCATTGAGAGCGTAGAAAGTGTAGGACAGCTAGTCCTCCTCCTAATGTGTCTAATGGACTCAGTCTAGTAACTGGTACAGGTTTGCAAAATTTCTGCGGGACCTAGCTATGAAAAAGACAGATGAGATTAAATGCCTGGAGGTTTAACTAATTAAATAAAACAAACAAGGCAGGTTTCACATCACATCTCAAACTTAAAATGTCTAAAACTGAACTCTCATAACCCATGTTCACAACTGCCTTATTCCTAATGGCCAAAAAAGCCGACAAATCCAGATGTCCACCAATGGATGAACAGTAAACAATGTGGTATATCCCATACAATGGAATATTATTTGGCAATAAAAAATACTGATTCATGCTATAACATGGATGAACCTTAAAAACATTATGCTAGGTGATGATTGTGGTGAGTCACAAAAGGCCACATTGTGTGATACTGTTGTGATTCTACATGTGATCTCATTCCATGAAATCAGAAAGTAGATCAGTGGTTGCCTAGGGTTGGGGGAACACGGTGGGGACTGGGAGTAACTGCTGATGTGCAGTTTCTTTTTAAAGGTAATTAAAATATTCTGAAGTTGACTGTAGTGGTGGTTGAAAAACTCTGAGTACATTAAAACTATTGAATGGCACATTTTGAATGGGAAATTGGATGGTAAGTAAACTGCGTCTCTATTAAGCTGTTAAAAGGGAAAAAAAAAAGACATAACAAAAAAAAGGCCATGCAGCTTATGCATGGTTCCCCAGAACACTTGCTCTGGGAATCCTGAGCCCCCATTTAAGAGAATGACTACCCTAAGACCACCAGGCTGACAAAGACCAGGCCACACGGAGGGGCCACAGTTGTCTTAGCTCAGCCCAGCTTCTGAGTCATCACAGCCCACACACCAAATACACGAGTGAAGAAGCTGTCAGATGATTTTAGCCCTCTGGCCTTTGAGTCAATCCCAGGCATTTAAGTCCCAGGTAGGCCCATATCCTAGCCCAGTATCTGACCATAGAATCTGTGAGCATCATAAAACAGTTGTTTTATCCCACTCTGTTTAGGGGTGGTTTGTAAGAATCACTCTTCTGGTTTTCTTCCCATCTCAGTCTCCTCGGTGTCCTGGTTCCTCCCCAACCTCCCTGAAGGTTGGTGTCCCCGCAGTCTGTGGACCACGTCTATCCCTGTGCTCACTCCCCCAGCAATCTCGAAGACTCGTGGCTTTCATACCACACTGATGATCTCCACACTGATACCTTCAGCCAGACCTCTCCCTTAAGTTCAGATGACTATAGTCACCTGTTTATTTGACATCCCTACTTGGATTTTTGGAAAGTAGCAATTGATCTATACAAATCAAATATTTTATCTAATAATACATTCAAATGCAGTGCTTTTATTGACATTCTTGCAAAATGTCACTATTCACTGCTATTGGAAAATTCTGACATAGGCCTCTAAGAGTCGGTTTACTTGTTTTTACTTGATTGCCTACCAAACTGCTCGTATTTACTATCACCGAGGGCAGGGAAAAGACAATTTCTTTAAATGCAGCAAGAGGAGCTGAGGGCAAATCACCTTTAACAGTTATGAAAAATGATGGGTAAGTAGGTAAACCAAATGTGGTATATACATACAGTGGAATACCATTCAGCCTTAAAAAGGAAGGACATTCTGATATACACCACAGCATAGATAAACCTTGAGAACATTATACTCAGTGAAATAAGTCAGACAGAAAAGGACAAATACTGTGTGATTCCATGTAAATGAGGTACCTAGAAGAGTCAAATTCATAAATACAGGAAGTGCACTGGTGCTTACCAGGGGCTGAAGGGAGGGGTAATGGGGAATTACTATTTGATGGGTACAGAGTTTCAGTTTGGGTTGATGAAAAATATTCTGAAGATGGATACGAGTGATGGTTGTACAATAATGTGAAGGTACTTAATGCCAGTGAATTGGACACTTAAGAATGGTTAAAATGGTAAATTTTACGTTATATTTTACTACAATAAAGAAGTTATGCCTTGGCCGGTTTGGCTCAGTGGTTAGAGTGTCAGCCCGTGGACCAAGGAGTTGTGGGTTCGATTCCAGTCAAGGGCACGTACATCAGCTGCAGTTCATCCCTGGCCCTGGTCAGAGTCGTGCACGAAGCAACCAACTGATGTATCCCTCTCATATCAATGTTTCTCCCCTCCCCCCCGCCCCACTCTATCTGAAAATATCTGAGAAAATATCCTCGGGTGAGGAATAAAGAAAAAAAAGAAGTTATGAAAAATGGAGTAAGATTACAGTTGGAATGAGAGAGAGCAACTATGTGTCTAGGACGATTTAGGTACAAACAGATCTGTAAAGGGAAGCAAGATGGCTAGGGTGGAGGAAATGATCTCTGAATATTCCCCCATTTACTCCACAAAGTGAGTTTCTCAGCTAAACAGTTATAATGGTAGCTAACTACAGAGGGGCTGTGGCTTCTGACACCCTGCTTCTGGTGGCAGGGTCAGCATAGGCCTGAGGACCTTCTGAGGCGGGGATGTGCTTCTAATAAGCCGCCAATGCTCCTTTTAGGCACAAATACTTGGAGGCCAGGAGCTCCCCTAACTCTCGGTAGCCCAGACGACCCGAAGATCTGCCCCTAGAAGGTATTTATTGCATAGCTGTTGAACGCAGTAAAAGCTTGTCTTGGTTTATAGGATGGAGAATAGGTAATGTCTTTTTGAGAGTGCTATATTTGATTAGAATGAAATGATATTATGTAAAAACACTGATACAAAGATAAGGCATTATTCTTAATACAAGCAGGACAAAAATGGCTTAAAAATCTCCCTGAATGTCACAGTTTATTTGCCATGATCTAATTTCTTGGAGAGTTGAAGGTAATTTCCGCTGAAGATACAGGAAGTTCTGATTTACCTTTTTCTTCTTAGTCATCTTAGAAAGAGGGGGGATGGGCCTTTTTGCCTCTCAGGCTCCTCAAGTCTTCCTCGGACATAACAGGGAATAAGCAAAATAATTTAACATTCAGAAAGATATGGGGTTTATTTGGAATAAAAACACACTCACAAAAAGTCATTTGTTTCTGTCAGTGATTTTTCTGGCTCGAAACCCCTCCAGTCTGGGATGGATTTTCTGTGCAGGAGGAAACCCAAGGTGAGGCACTGAGTCTAGAGCTTCCCTAGAGGTCACAGTCTGCTAATCTAATCGTATTTGACAGTAAATTTAATTATCCGAGAAATTTTATTATTCTTGCTTTATATATCTGCTTCCTATAAATGAGTATCATTTTCATCTATGACACACTGAGAACAGTCAAGAATTGTATCTTGCATTTATAATTTAAGAATCTATATTTAAAAATTAAGACTTATGTTTATGTGACTATGATTATAAGGAAAATTAGAAACCAAACAGATGGATATTTATAAAAACTGACATTTCAGGAAAGGACTTGAAGTTAGAAGCCCTTTCCAACTCCTCTGTAAATGGGGGACCATACTACTACTTTAAGCAAAATTCATATTTTTCCCAATTGCAGAAAACTTGAGACTTTTACTTCCTCAAATTTTAGATGGATTATTTTTCAGAATTTTTCTGATTATACGAAATCCTCTAGCTGATAAAAGGCCAAACATTTACATTCTTGTCAAGAGCTGAATGTACTTTTATGTATTAACACAGATGGTATTTCATATGGAACAGGAACGAGTAATTAAATGTCATTATTCGGTACCGTACAAATATGAAGTTAAAATAGAATTTTCATTGACGGTCAACACTGTGGATTCCATGTTATGATTCATTCCAAGAACACAAATGTCCACATCTTCGGTGCAGAGGACAGTTTTCCGCTGTAACAACACCCTCAAAGGGTTTTCAGTCGGTCTCGATCGTGCTCCCTTTGCCCGCGAAGTGCGAACGACTCCTGAACAAACTGCCTGCACATCGGGCAGCGCTGGAAGTAGCGCACGCAGCCGTCGCACAGGCACGTGTGTCTGCAGGGCAGGAGCACCCAGTTCACCGTCCCGTTCTGGCAAACGACACAGTCCTTGCCATTCTCCTCCGGGGCGTCTGCTTCACTTTCAGACAGTCCAGCCCTTTCCAACAAACTTCGGTCCGTGCTTTTTAATTCTGGAGAGGAATTGCTGGAAGGAGTGGAATTATTATTTGCAGACATGAAAAGTTGCTGGAAATCAAAGAAACAAGTTTAAAGATAATTACAAATGACAATTATTCTTTAAACCTGAAGGTCGTTAGAGCTGCTCAAAATTTATGAACTAGCAAATCCAACAGCAAATAATAGCTAACTTCTAGGATAACTAACTGAAAAATATTACCCCTTTATAATGGTCATTCTTTGAAACTTCAAACAAAAGAGACAAAGATAAGACTACAGAGTACAACTTACCTTAAGATCATGAAATTGACCTTGAGTCGGGAGTAAATATTGATACAATATTCTACAGGATAGTTTATAAGTTTTGTCAGGAATATGAATTACTGACACCATGGAAATCTAAAATAAAAATTGAACACTGGTCAGTACTTAACCTTTTTATATTATTTCACAGAAATGTGAAAATGTATCTCAAATAAAAAATGAGAAGTTGATAAATTAGAAAACTTACAATTTATTCAAATCAATCACTACAGAGGAACCAGTAACTGACATATTTTTGCCAGAGTTATTTTAATTATACTCATTTACAAATTTAATGTGATCCCAACAAAATAGCTGAGTTGACTCTAAAATTCTCATATGGGAAAATAACATATAAGAATAGCTAGGAAAATACTAAAAAGAAAGCTATGAGTGGGGAGGCTAAGCCCAGTCAGATATAAAACATACTACCAAGCCCCTAAAATTAAAACAGTGCGGTACTAGCACATAAACAGACATGTCTGAAATAGAATAAACAGTCCAGAAACAGACCCAATTATATACACAAATATGATAAAAGTGGCATCTTAAATCACTGGCCAAAAAGTCTTTTTAATAAAAAGTATTAGGACAACTGAATAGCTACTTGGAAAAATAAAAAAATTTGATGTATTCCCACCATACATAAGAAGAAACTCCAAAAGCATAAGATCTAATTGTAAAAAATAAAACTATACAAACATGAGGAAAAAAATATGTGCATTCCTTTTTAGACTCAGTGTAGGGAAATATTTTCTAACTATAACTCAAACCCAGAGGCAGATAAATTTGACTACATAAAAATTAAAAACTTGCATGATAAAAAGCACCGCACGACATATGGCAAACTGGAATAAAATATTCAAAATGTATATCACAGACAAAGGGTTAATAACCCTAATTTATGAAAAACTTTTAAAAACTGAAGAAAAAGTAACCAACTATCCCATAGAAAAATGGGCAAAAGACATAGACAATTCACAAAAGATATAATCATGGTCCTTAGCTATATTAGAAGATGTTCAATTTTATTCACACGATAAATGCAAACCAAAAATTCACTGAGATACTATTTCTCATTCATCAGATTAACAAAAATTCAAAAGCTTGTCAATACACTCTATGTAGTAATAATCAATCTCATATATTGCTGGTGGAAATGTTAAGGAAAAACAACAAAAAAAGGCAACCCTGGCTAGTGTGGCTCAGTTGGTTGGGCGTCATCCTGTGCACCAAAAGGTTGCCTGGTTTGATTCCTGGTCAGGGCACATGCCCGGGTTGCAGCTCAATCCCGGGAGTGTGCAGGAGGCAGCCGATCGATGTTATGTCCTTACATCGATGTTTTTCTCTCTCTCTCTCGTTCTCCTTCTCCCTTCCTCTCTCTCTATAGATCAATAATAAAAATCTTAAAAAAAAAAAAAAAAGATTCAACTCCAAAGGTACAACCCCAATAGAAGAGAATTTGGCAATTTGTAACAAATGACATGCATTTACCCTTCAACCATACCACCTCAACTATATTAAAATACATATGCACAGGTTATCAGTGCAAGATTATTTGTTAGTGCAGAATACTGGAAACTACCTGAATGTCTAACCACAGGAGATTAAATAAATGGTACCTATACACCCTACATACAATGAAGTGCTATACAGCTGTAAAACAAAACAAAACCCATGGGAGGAAGATTCTCCACCTGTGGGTCGCGACCCCTTTGGGGGATGGAACGACCCTTTCACAGGGGTCGCCTAGGACATAACAGTAGCAAAATTACAGTTATGAAGTAGCAACAAAAATAATTTTATGATTGGGGGTCACTACAACATGAGGACTGTATTAAAGGATCACGGCACTAGGAAGGTTGAGAACCACTGGTCTAGACTGATTTCCAGAAGATAGTGTGAAGTGAAAAAAGCAAGAACATATATAGTATACACAGTATGCTACCTTCAGTGTAGGAAAGAAGGGAACATAAAAAAAAATATATATATATACACACATATATATTTGACATGATTTATATATTTATGTCATCATTACAATAAGAAACATAGGAAGGATAAACCAGCAAACAATGAGCTTGGCATCTGCAGGACTGGGGTGAGTGAGTATGAGGGGAGTGTATGTGGAATACAACAATGTCTGAATATACCATTTAATATAGTTTCTTGACTTTTGGGAGAACTAATCCAAGTAATTTATGAAAACACAGTGTTTGACTATAAACCTTCAGTCTTTGGCAGGAAGTATGAAGAAAACAGTTTGAGCACAAAAATAATTATATTCAGTAATTAAACCACTGGGAAATAAACAAACACTAAATGGTAGGTGTCTTGCTTATAGAATACTGAGGGCTGACTGGAGGGCGGAATTTGGAAAATAATCATTTTGCTACCATCATGGTAAAGATAAAATCTTGTAAGAATCACCCATGGATATTAAATCCAGGGGGAAATGCTGATAGAGAGCGGGATATTTGCACGGTCTTAAAGTGCCTCCCTACAGACTGCTTATGATCTGCAAAGGAAGGAATAAATGGATCAGTGGAGAAATCAGATAACACCTTGACTGACAGAGCAAAATTAACAACATCACCAATGACAGAAAATAACCTTGCACGCCTCTGAAGGTGATGTCTTGAAAACATGTTATCACCTGTACAATACACTGGCTGAAAATGCATAACTCCACTGTAATCATGATGAAACATCAGAAAAACAAAATGAGAACTGTTCTGTTTTACAAAAAGGGTGTATGTGTGTGGCTGTATTTTTCAAAAAAATGCTACTATCATAAAAGACAAAGAAAAGCTATGGAAATATCCAGATGAAAGGAGGCTAATAATACATGACAAATACAGTATCTGACTCTAGACTAGACTCTGTACTGGAGGGGAAACATGTTGTAAAGAATACTGTTAGATCACCTAACAAGTTGGAATACAGGTAATAGGTTGGATAAAATATTCTAGCAATGTTAGATTTATAAAGTTGATAACTATATTGTGATTATATAAGAGAATATCCCTATTTTTAAGAAATACACACTGAAATATTTAAAAGTAAAAAATCATCATGCACACAATTTACTCTCAAATCATTCATTAAAAAAATATATCTATACACACATACATACCTACATATAAGGCAAATAATGTAAATGTGCAATGTTAACAATTAACAACAGATCTGGGTAAAGGAGATATGGGTGGTTACTTTATTTTTGCAAGGTTCTGAAATTACATCCAAATAGCAAGTTTAAAATAAACAACCTACTATGCTTATAAACATAAAATGTTCTTTACAGCTTTATAAGGATTTATTAATTTAGCAATGGCTTCAAATGCTTTTAATACTAAATCAATTTTGTATTATTGGTAGAAGATAGTAATATTATCACCTCATACTAACAGTCTCATCATTAGATTTAATATTAAAAGATTCTGAAGCTACTATAATGCTGGTTATAAATATATATGTAGTTATAGACATATAGTTCATATGGAAAAGATGTTAATATAATACTAAATGAAAGCAGGTGACAAAATAGTGTGTACAAGTTGATTCCATTTTTGTTTAAAAATTACATATATAAAGGTCTGGAAAGATACAGACAAATATTCACAGTGGTTATCTTTGGATGATAGAATAAAAGTGATTATACTTTTTTTTTCTTTTGACTTATCTAAATTTTCTAATATTATTTCCTGCCATAGGCATGTATTTTTGAGTAATACAGAAAACTGATGTAAATATGTAAAAATGAAAAAAAAATTCAAAGTTAAAATCTTGCAATAACAATCCCTGTTTTCCTTTCTCTACCTATAAAAAAAAAAAAAAGAAAAAAACTAGCTTCTAACTATACTATCTAAATGTAATTTTTTACTATTTAAACAGGAATGGGAGAGTTTAATTTTTTTTTTTTAGATTTAGAGTCTCTGACTCCCAGATAAAATACTGAAAAACCACTTATGAAAAATGCTCAGTTTGCTTTTAAAATTAAGAACAAAGAAAAGTATTATAAAATATAATGATAATTATGCTTTAGTTCTAATATTAGGCCCAATCTGAGAGATAAGAGATGGAGAAACAAGATTTAACAGGAAAAAAAGGGGAGACCCTGCTGATAAAAAACAAAGAGAAGAGCCCTGGCTGGTTTGGCTCAGTGGTTAGAGCGTCAGCCTGTGGACCAATGAGTTTCGGGTTCAATTCTGGTCCAGGGCAAGTAACTCGGTTGCAGTTCATCCCCGGCCCTGGTCAGGGTCATGCAGAAGGCAACCAGTCGATGTGTCCATCTCACATCGATGCTTCTCTTTCTCCCCCTCTCTCTCTTCCTCTCTCTCCCTCCCACTCTATCTGAACAAAAATGGAAAAATATCCTTGGGTAAGGATTAAAAAAAAAAGACACAGAGAAGGACCAAGGCAGGGAGACTAGACAAAGAAAATGACTGTTAATGCTTGAGAGCCAGAGACCAACCTCCTCTGCAACTACAGTAGGGCCCTGAACTCTTCATTCCAGTTGGATCAGAGACTAGATAAGCAAATCTTTCTCTAGTTATAATGCCACTGAACTGTACATTGAAAAGTAGTTGAAATGGTACGTTTTATGTTATATATATTTTAGCATGCACACACCAAATCCTTCTCGAGGAAGAGAAGGTAGAAAACAAAGACCGCCAGTACCTCAAAAAGACAGAAGGCACCAACCCAGGGAGAGGAAAGGAACCAAAAGGGAAGCTGGGAGGAAGGTGACTGAGAGCTGACTCTTTTTGTTTGGAATAAAAGGAAAGCAGTAGGGGAGCTTAGAAGAGATGGGGAACACACAGTGATGAGAGAAGGGTTACCTTGCCAGGGTAGGCAGGGGCACGAAACACCAACCTAACAGGTCTTACTTACCTTCCATTGCAAAGGGGGTGGGGAGAACCCAGAAGATCTCTCATGTATGCGTCCTCATGCACACGCAACTGAGCAATTTGCTGCTGAGCTCTATGAGGCTCACTAACATTGCTTGGTATGACTTTATTTTCCACACTGATTAAATTTACTGAGTACCTACTGTGTCTAAAGCACTGTGCTAGATTCTAAAAATACACTGCTGTTGGTATGTCTTTTATTTGGCAAAAAAACAAAAAACAAGCTGACTTCAGCTCAATAAAACTTCAATTTGGTAAGATTAAAAACCCTAAAACCTAGATTGGCTTAACTGCATTATGAACATGGTCTAGATTTCCCAATAAAGATCTACACTTTCTAGCACTTCCAAAGCTCAATGCACACTTGTTTAGGAGAGATATTCCTGTTAAAAATAAAAAGGGGGTTGGGGGGGACTGGCATAAAACTACACAGGTTCAGGGTCAAGCCCATCTCTTACTCCATGAATGACTGGGAGTTTCCTTTGGACTCTGTTTCAGTCCTTATAAGAAGGATATTTGTTTAACACACAAGGTTGTTGGAAGGAATAAATAAGTTAACATTAGTGAATGCACTTTGTATGGTACAAAGTGTCATAACGATGTTACCATATCTTTATTAATAAACATATCTATCTATATCACACCCTTCAGAAAAGTAGTAAATTGTGTATAAGGGCATTTTACCATGATACAACTTCACCAAACATTTAGTTCATATGTAAACTTCTATCATACTTAGAGGATTGTCAGGGCTCAGGTCCTCTTAGTTCTCTAAGATGCTTTTATCTTCCTAATAGGAATAAACTACCAAACTAAATAAATAATTAGCATATAATGGGAAAAGTAATTATCACTATAATTACGGATAATATAGGGACCAACATATATAAATGTAGACGCAGCAAAACAATGATGGAAACAAAATGACTGTAAATATGCAAAAAAAAGAGTGGGTACTGTCTTAAAATTGAGCATTTTGGATTACTATACTACAATTTATTCAGTAGAAAAAATGTTAAAAATACACATGCTTCCCAACAGACTTTTCTATGTAGCAAACATGACAGAATGGCGAAATCAAGTTAATTCAAATATAATATAGCTTGCATTTTCTTTTCTTTTTTTATCCTTACCCGAGGACATTTTTCCATTTTTTGTTCAGATAGAGTGGGAGGGGGAGAGAGAGAAAGAAACATTGACATAAAAGGGACACATCGAGTGGCTGCCACCTGCACGATCCAAATCGAGTGGCTGCCACCTGCATGACCCAACCAGGGCTAGGAACAAACTGCAACCAAGGTACATGCCCTTAGCGGGAACTGAACCTGGGTTTCTCTGGACCGCAGGCTGACGCTCTAACTGCTGAGACAAACCGGCTAGGGCTAGCTTGTATTTTCTAAATAACATTATATTCTTGTAACCCATATGGGTAAAAAAAAGTCATACCCTGAAGGAGCTGTTACATGTATAAAAATCATACAGGTGGGGGGGGGGGGGAGGAGGTTGTCAATGGGGGAAAAATGAGAGACATCTGTAACAAAAAATTAATAAATAAAAATTTTTTAAAAAATCATACAGGTGTACTTCTTATGTATTCATATTTTAGGTAAAATGTGTCCAGGCCAAATGTATACCCTCAGAAATTAAAATTAAACTTATTCTGTATCACCAAATAATTAAGACCCATTATTCAAATCACTTTAAAGTAATGCTTCCAAAACTTTTAAATTACTTACAATATCATAAATTTCTCGGTCATCCTCATCAGCTAGGGTCAACAATGCTACCAATGGATAGCGAGATCTGGGCACTGTTCCAAAGTCTTCAATTTTAGTATCTTTTGGTAACTGGCAATATATTTCTTCTTTGCTGTCTTTTTTAATACTTTTTGAAAATGTAAAGGTAAATAATCACTATAACCAAAAATACAATAATATACCAAAGGTGATCAATAGTAACTTAGCAACACTTTGTTTTATCCATAAAAAGTCTAATGTCTCAAATTTTCATGGCCTAGTAGATATAAGATAAAGGATACAAATACTGTTCCTGATAGAGATATTCACTATACAGAGCATCTTCCAATGCTTGGGGAGTGCTTATTCGGAAGCAATAAACATGCTTCTGCAGAGCCTCATATAATTTTTGAACACTGCACCCCCAGTAGCATGTAAGGAGGCTATCTTCAAGGCAATCTGTTGTCAAAGTTATGCCAGCTGTAGAAAACAAATAAGACAAAGAGAAGAAAATTACTTAATGTCATTTCTAATACAATTATACATAGCAAGTAACAAAAGCTTCTTTCTGGATACTGGCCAGGCTGCTGGCAGTTAAAGGAACTCATTAAAGGGTATGTGCCTATAAATGAAGGAACTGGTCTCTGAAACAGGACATATAAAAACCTCAATGTCTACACAATTTTGAAGCACTACCAGTAAACCTTATTATTTATACATTTATGCTTGGAAATGATCAATTTAATTTTTTGGTGACTTCAAGACATTTCCCACATAGATTTTAAAAACTCTAGTTCATTATCATTAACCTACCACTCTAATAGTGTCTACAATCCTAACCTCAGGAACAGTAGAGCTGTTTCCAAAAGTAGATGCACACAACCTTATAACTACAAGCTGAGCAGAGCTGTCTCTGAAAGTGGATACACACCACCCACAGGTCCACAAGATGATCACTGAAGTAGGAAAAATATTTTTAAAAAATTGAGCTTTACTCATATTCATATACATACTGACAACATTAATACATATTCTTGTCACAAAGTTAATGTTCCATGTAATATGCTAAATATCCTGAGGAAAGAGTCGAGGTTCCAAAACATGGAGGGTTTAATAGTGATGTCCTCATTCATCTGTTTGCTTTCAGCATAATAAAAGATATTATGCCCAGCCGGTGTGGCTCAGTGGTTGAGCGTCAACCCACGTACCAAGAGGTCACCGGTTTGATTCCTGGTCAGGGCACATGCCCAGGTTGTGGGCTCAATCCCTAGTGGGGGGCATGCAGGAGGCAGCCAGTCATTGTTCTCTCACATCGATGATTCTCTCTCTCTAAAAATAAAAGAAAAAAAAAATTTTTAAAAAGATATTATAATTTGAGTAGAGCTGATTAAGGGGGTATATAAATTATAAGTGGATGAATTATATTATATAGTTTTACCTACTTATTTACCTCTTAATTAGGATTTACTATGTGCCACCTACATGATTTCTTCCCTCGCTTGTGGCAATTGTAGCAACATTCAGGGTCTCTACTGCTGGCAGTGTAAGCTGCAACATCTAGTGCTCAGTGGTGCACTTGCTAGACCAAAAGAAAATGGTTTTGGTCACTGTGAGGCAGGATAGTAAGAAGCTAGGAAAATTCCTTGACCAGTGGAATGAGGGAAACTGAGACAAGATAGTTAAACAAGGCCAGCAATGAAGAGCCTGCTAATAAATCATAAGATCTTATCTTCCCCCACCAAGGACACTTAAGAGCAGATGGTTTATACCTCCCCTCCTAACCAGAGAGGGAGTAGCTTAAATCACCCTGGTCATGGAGAGGGATAACAGAGACCCAGTTGGTGCCATGAGTGCCACTCAAACCCCAGAACAGATGAAGTCAGTGGAACACATAAAAAAAAAATTAGAGCTAGACAAATCCAAGATGAAAGTAAAGCAGTGAAGCTCATCAGAGAATGATCCCAAACTCCCTTAGATGCTCGTTTTGATGTATCAGCATATTAAAGGACACACCCGGAAAGCTGTTGAATATTCCATCACAGGGGTGGGAACCTTTTTTCTGCCAAGGGCCATTTGGATACTTATAACATTCCAGACCATACAAAATTATCAACTTAAGAATTAGCCTGCTATATATGGTCAGGCTAATTTGGTGAGACATGTGATGTTACCTAGGCCCCATGCGCCAGGCTGATATTCCCCAACCCGTTTTATTGAGACCCTCCCCTGAGATTTCCCTTAAAATTCCTACCTTTAGAAATCAGATAAAAACCCTTAAGACAAAAGACCCAGAATACTCACTTGAGCATTCCCACATCCCTGCTTTCCTTAGGCATGTACTTTTACTTTCTCCTAAGCTCTAAAGGTTTCCAGGAGACTTGCAACCAGGGGAGCAGCGGGCAACTTGTCCCAGGCTAACCCTTTCACCTGTCTCCAAGGGTGCTCCTTTTGCCTCTGTTTCCTTTCCTGAGTCCCTGAAACCCAGTCTAGGCCCACTCCTGTGGTTGTGAGCTTGGCTCATCTGTCTTAAGCCTATCCTTTGTTTCACTGTCTCCAATTTCAATAAACATACTCTCAAAATCACCTGAATCAGTGAAACCTTTCCTACATGAAGTCAAGAACCCACACATTCCAGACTGTTCCAGGGCTAACCCGCCTCAGTCCCGGTCCCTTCTGGTGACAACTATTCTTGGCTGAACAGCCCTGGTCTCTGATTCTGGCTCTCTAAACCTACTGGCAAGTCTGTGAGCTATTCAATATCTTTTTTCCCCCCAATTTCTAACATTTTTTTTATTGTTGACAGTATTACAGATGTCCCCCATGTCCCCCTTCAATATCCCTTTATTGGAGTCATTTCTATTGCTTGCTAATAGAAATTCTGATTAATACATTACCTTTTTTTTTTATCCTCACCCGAGGACATTTTTTCCATTTTTTTGTTCAGATAGAGTGGGAGGGAAAGAGAGTAAGAGAGAGAGAGAGAAACATCAACGTGAAAGGGACACATCGAGTGGCTGCCACCCGCACGACCAACCAGGGCCTGAAACAAACTGCAACCGAGGTACGCGCCTTTAGTGGGAACTGAACCCAGGTCTCTCTGGACCGCAGGCTAACACTCTAACCATTGAACAAACCAGCCAGGGCTACATTACCTATTTTTAAAGGTGATAAAGAGAATGTATTGGAAGGAGATACACAAACAACCAGATCATCCACAGGATACCAAATATTTTAGTATGTACAAAGGCTCAGATTCTGAGTATGTATAGTAACAGTGACATAGAGCAATTTCTCACCACAGTTAAGCAAACATTTTAATTGACAGAAAATTTGCATACGTAATTGATACAAGATTTGATTTCACATTTTTATGATTCCAATCATCAGGTATTAATTCAGAAATAGACAATCCAATTAGCCATATTTTTCAATTAGCTGTTAAAGAGCTGGAAAAAAACACTCCATGAATGCAAATTTAAAATATATGTATTAAAAATCATACTTCCCTTTAGAACCACCAAAGTGAGGTAAGGAAAAAAAGCTGAAAATAGATAGAAAAGGGAAAAAAAATTTAAAGCCTACAAAAAAAGCGAGAAAAGGAAAAAAAAGGGGCCCAGAAAAAAATTAATTAATATTACTCTATTACTGGCAAAAATGTAGAAAGATGTATGGATAAGGCTATTCATTGTAGCACTAGTTATATCAAAATGCTGTACACCACCTAAATGTCTATCAATACGGGACTACATTAATAAACTACAGACTATTCCCCATTAAAGAAGTACTAGGAAGCTCTATAAAAAAATTGAGGCATACAAAAATATCTGTGTCTAGTACTGCTGTGGAATGAGCTTCAGAATGTACCATTAAATGAAAAAAGCAAGGTGTAGAAAATAATACACCTTGGGACAAAAGTAGGTTTACAGTTGTGAGCATGTGAAACAGAGTTGATTCTTATATTACTATTAATTAATTACTATATTATTTTCCATACAAACAATTGTAAACCCATTTTTGCACCACCCTGTAAATAGTATGCTACTGTTTATCTCAGTATTTGGAGAGGAAATCAAATATATGTGTTTGTCTATTCTAGAAAAAGAACAATGGAAGGATAAGCCTTAAAAAAAAAACTCAACTTACAGAACATACATAACTACAAGACTATCTGCTTTGTAAAAAGAATCAGAGTTCCAGAGATTCAGAGCTAAATAAGTTTATAGACTGTATACTTGACTAAAATGGGGCGTGTCAGAGACTACTGATTACTGGATATTAATCAGGTTTTAATATAATATAATATAATGTCTCTGATATTAATATTACAAGTAAATGAAAAAGAACTACAGAATGTATAAAACTCTGCTCTCTACAATCTTTCATAAACTTGTTTGTTACATAGACTGAGGAGAATATACTGATTTACACTAACTGATAATAGTTCAAATACCCCAAGATAAAACTATTCTCCCTTTAGTTTTTATCAGTTCTTCTGCAAAGATCCTGATATTTAATTCCCATTCTTATATTGTCTTAGTCTTCTAAAATTCAGTACACACACAGTGACATCTTAGAGTGATAGTAATAAAAGAACTAGAATATAGACATAACCCAGAAAATTCAGAATCCAAATTAAGTGAAGCAGCATGGGTGTGATTTCTCTCAGCTTACCTACCTGTAACATCCAAATAAAGTATAAAAAGACAATGTAAGAGATAGTGTTGCAAAAAGTTGAAAAAAAATCAGGGCTATAGTCAAATGAATTGAGCCATAAAAAAAAAAAAAGAGAGAGAGAAAGAGAGAGACAATGGGGCAGAAAAGCCACAGACCTTCTTGCAGAAACATCTCTGTAAGAGAAGAATTAATATACAAGGAGCCCATGCATGAGAATGATGAAAACAGAATATTGGGAGATGAAATTTTGATTGTAAGGAATAGAGGTTCACAAATTCCTCCAAAAATGCCGTGTGTCACTTTGCTTAACCCTTTTGCTATGTTAGCTCTTACCAGGGTGAACAAGTTAAAATACAAAGAAGCTGTTTACAAAAAGGCAGCAGAATTCCTGATACAACTCAATTAATATGTCCTGAGTATCTGCTTTCAATTTCATTAAAACCTCTACAATGGGGACATGGAAACATCATAAATCTGAATACAGTGTAATTACATAACAAACAACAACAGAAAATCTCTCAAACCCACCCTAGTAAACAGAACGAAATGACTAAGATTAAAACTGATTCTCCGGTTTATTTTCAAGTAAATCAGCTCTCCAGACGCTTCCCTTCCCTCCCCTATGTGCCAGGCACCTTGGGTACAGCGATTTAAAAACAAAACAACAACAACAAAAAAACTCCTGGATTTTAAAATTATTCTACACACCACATGAAATAACCTTTTAAAATGTCACAAATATTACTCAGAATATTATTTCAATATCTTGGTTAGACATCTTTAATGATACCCACTGTGCCACAGTTTAAACAAATGAATTTTATTCTGCTGAGTACAATTCTCACCAAAATTCTTCTTCTTACTTCCCCATAGAAGACAGATAATGAATGATATGCACTGGTAGATAAAAATTAAATACTTCAATAAGCACACTATAAGTCCACATATTTAAATTTTTTTGCATGTGCCTCGCTGGTGTGGCTCAGTGGATTGAGCATTGTCCCATGGACTGAGAGGAACCAGTTCAATTTCTAGTCAGGGCACTAGGTTATGTGCTGGATCCCCAGTAGGGGGCGTGCAGGAGGCAGCCGATTGATGTTTCTCTCTCACATTGATTTTTCTCTCTCTTCCTCTCTCTAAAAAGTCAACAAAAACATATTTTAAAATAATAATATTAAATAAAATAAAGTAAAATAACATTTTTTTCATGTACTTCAGTGATGCTGTTAGTTAGCACCTAGTGTGCTGGGCACAGCTGAGAGGTCTTCCACTTAGTTGGTATCTTTTCCTTTGCTTCTAACATGTACAGGGCAGGCTCTATGTAAGACTACTTGTGTCTTAAAGGTAGACTGATTGACTTCCTGACACTTTCTAGCTCACAAGTGCCCTGTGTGTGTACTGATTCTTTCTTTCAGTCTCCAGGCTTGTGGACCTGTGCTGCAGGAAGAACGGCTTTGTACTAGTGGGATTTTATAAGTAGTCCTACTCAAGAGCCAGATGTGACATGATAGCAGGTCCAAGTGCATGACCACAAAGTCAGAGATCACCCAGCCACCACTATTCTGTATATCTTATTATTCTGGCATGTTTCCTAAATAAGTTAGTTTTCTCTGTTGTATCTTTTTTTTTTTTTTCCTTTATTGATTTGAGAGAGAGGAAGGGAGAGGGAGAGAGAGGTAGAAACATTGATGAGAGAATATCGATTGGCCGCCTCCTGCATGCCGTACACTGGGGATCAGGCCCACAACCTGGACATGTGTCCTGACCAGGAATCGAACTGGTGACTCTTGGTGCATGGGTCAACGCTCAACCACTGAGCCATACCAGCCGGACTCTCTGTTGTATCTTGAAATTTGGTTTTCCCAAGTGAAAAATGTCAGAATGAACTCCTGATCTACCATTGGGGGAAAAAGGTCTTTAATTCCCTTCAATTCATAGGAGTAATTATACACACACACACACACACACACACACACACACACACACAATATAGTATTTACAGCTAAGGAAGAAGAATAAGAAATGTGTACCTTTTCAATGTAAATCAAGATTTACTTAAGGTTGGTAATCCCTACTGACTAAGTACACTAAGTTTTGACAAGTGATTCTGGAAGTCACAGGCAGGAAGACGACTAGACAAGAATCTCACAGAAAACCTGGGAGCAGATGTTAGGAGGAAGGACTGGTCAGCTCTGTTAAACGCTGCAGAGGTAGCACTAACTCAAAAGCACCCCATCAATTTTATGACTGTGGGTTACAGGTGGGGGCAGAATGCTGATTAGTGACCCTGGAGAAAGCCATTTCAGCAGAGGGATACAGTAAAAACCAGACTACGCTGCTCGCTGCTCTCAGGAGTAAAGGGAAGCAGGTTAAGAGGAGAAGGCAAATGCAAACCGCTTTTACGAAGCCTGGCTGTGAAGGGGAAAAGGAAAATAGGACAGTAGCTAGAATAAGATGAAAAGGTGAGCAGGTTTTGGGTTGTTTGTTTTTAAGATACCAGAAATGTGAGCAAGTGAAAAGGCGATAGGGTTTCAGCCCAGAAAACTGTGCAGAGCTCCAAACCTGTATGTAGACCTGCTACTCTCTATCTCTACTTAACTGTCACAAAAGCATTTACGAGTCCAGAAATCCAAAACTGAATTCATTATCTTTCTTCCCAAACCTGCTGTTCCTCCTGTATTCATCTCGGTAAAGGACCGGTCTATGGAGGACCCAAGCAAAGAATCTGAGTCTTCCTCAACTCTCCATCTCAACTGGCCCCAGCACCCCCTTGTCTTTCCCTCCACCGGTTCCTGGACAGGCTTGCAGACAATATGTTTTCCAAGAACAGAAACAAACAACTACCATCTATTATTACCAACTACCAAAATAATTTTAAACCAAAATACCATAATTTCAGATGAAAAGAGCTGTTCTTCAGGAGGTGAGCAAGCGTACATTAACTGTCCTTATACTATACCCACTCTCACGCTCCTCACTGCGCTGCAGACCAGTGCAAAGGGCAGTGTCCTAACAGACTTCTCTCATTAACACCTGGGTACTTTACTTTCTCGAATGCCTCTGTGTGCTAGTTGATAAGCTCCTTAGGAGCAAGGTTTGTGGATTACTAATCTCTGTAGCTGTAGTATTTAGTACAGCACCTGGAACAAAACAGGTGCTCAATAAATGTTAAGTCTAATAAAGAGAAAGCAATGGAGAAAGAAAACTAAAGGGCTAAAGAGGGGGCAGAGAAAGAGAAGAATCTTTGGAAAATAGCTACCAACTTGAAATCGAAGCTGAAGATGGATTAGTGATCTCTAAGCCAAAAGGATTCTTGACTTGTCTCATTTGCTTTTTGAAAACTCTTGTTTTGAACTGCGTCTCTTCGGAATTTCTCAAAATTACTGGAACATCCCAACCAAACCTGAAGAAAGGTAAAAATAAAATAATACATAATTTCAATAAACGTTGAAACTTTATGATATATGGAAACTATATGATACTTCATTAGTTAATTCTTTCATGTAAGTATCAAAAAAGAGACTAAGTTACTCAATTTACATTATATTAGAAAATTAATGTAGAAATAAGAGAGATTAGAGGCCCCACAGAAATGTCATATATTGTTAAGCTGGCTGAACAGACATGCTCTTGAAAACAGTTCTACTGTTAATAACAAAGGAGTATACTGATTATAAATTGTACCTAATATAACAGCAAAAACATGATAGAATTATTAAAACTTTAAATGATATAATAAATATTAAATATGCAGACTATTTGATATTATATAGGACAAGAAAACATTTAAACATCAATTATAGCCCTTCATTATATAGCATATTTCCTCCTTTTAAATTGCATATAAAAATGTAATAATGCATACTGAACAAACTTAGAAGGAAAATGAAAAAGATTAATTCAATTCTTTATAAAATTAGAAAGCAGCTAGGTTTACTCAATTTAGATAAAATATCTGAAAATGAATAGACATTAGTTTAACCAAGGGACTTTAGGTTAAGATGGCAGTTAGGTTCATACTTGAATGCACTCTCTTCTCTCCAAACACTTAGTAGTGATAGATAAAAATAAAAAGTGAAATCAAAAAAGACCCCAATGAAATGAGTGAACAAACTGTGGTATGTTTAAAGAAAGGAACAGAAGAACTCAGCAATGAAAAGGAATAGCTTATTGCCACGACCACATGGATAAATCTCAAAAGCAACATGCTGTACAAAAGAAGCCTGCCACGAAAGAGTACATGCTATGACTCCATAAAGTGGAACTCTAGAGCAGGCAAAAGTAATGGAGTAGAAATAAAAAATTAAAAAAACAGCTGCTTCTGGGCTGTTGAGACTGTGGGCTGATGGGAAAGGGCATAAGGAAACTTTCTCTGGTGATGGTGATATTCTGTATCTTGATAGAGGTTTGAGTTGTATAGATGATGTGTTTGATAACACTTAAAATACATACATTTCATTGTATATAAATATTACTTCAAAAAAAAAAACTATATGCCTGGCCGGTGTGGCTCAGTAGACTGAGTGTCATCCCATGGACTGGGAGGTCCGGGTTCGATTTCCAGTTGGGGTATATGCCCAGTTTGCAGGCTTGATCCCCAGAGGCGGACATGCAGGAGGCAGCCAATTGATGTTTCTCTCTCACATCAATGTTTCTATCTCTCTCTACCTTCCTCTCTCTCTAAAAAAATCAATAAAAAATATTTTAAAAAGAAAGAAAAAAACTATAAATAAAACCAAATACTGAACTCTAGCTATGCAATGCTTTTGGGTGAAGAGTACATGTTACCTGAAGTGATCAACAAATGAGATGGACGGATGGGTGGATGGATCAGGACAGATGTAATAAAGACAGAGTAAAATGTTGATTTAGAACCTAAGTGATGGGCATATGCATGCTTATTGTATAATTCTTTCATTGTATGTAAGTTTCTAAATTTTAATAATAAATTGTTGGAAAGAGGAGACATAGCTGGGTTCAAAGACATCTTCATAAATCTGAAAAGGGAAAAAAATATCAAGTGGTAAGTAAGGCTTAGGCCATGGTTTGATGGGTTCTGAGTCTGGCAGTAGGCAGTGGAAACTAAGCCTTCACATAGTAAGAGAGCCTTACAGCTTGTCCACTCAAGACAAGGGCCAGGCTCACAACTTGAATACAGGAGCTGAGTTAGGTCAATATCAATATAGCACAAAAACTGTCATTATAAGACCTGGTCCTTTACTAGGGAGCAGGGGTTTGTTTATAAATCTGAGTGGAGGCAATAGTAAAATGATTAAAAAGCAAGGATAGGGACAACGGGGGCTGGGGGAACTTCCACTAAAATTCAGGTTGCAAACTAAAATTTCGAAACACATGAATAATTCTATTGCCAAGAGAAAGCCAATAAAATTAACAAATGAAATAAAATTTCACTCTAGATTAATTTAATTTTATAGAACAGTTGAATAAGACTATTCTATTTCTGCCTTAAAAAGCTGATGTCCTGGCTGGTTTGGCTCACTGGTTAGAACGTCGGCCCATGGACCAACGAGTCACAGGTTCAATTCCAGTTATGGGCATGTACCTCAGTTTCGGTTCATTCCCAGCCCTGGTCAGAGTTGTGTGGGAGGCAGCCAGTCAACGTGTCTCTCTCACATTGATGTTTCTCTCTCTCTCTCCCTCCGCCCCCCCTCCCCTTTATCCATCCCTCCCTCCCACTCTATCCAAAGATAAATGGAAAAATATCCTTGGGTGAGGGTTAAAAAAAAGCTGAAAAGTGCCCTGGCCAGTAGGGATCAGTGGTTGAGCACCATTCCATGCACTGAGAGGTCACCAGTTTGATTCCTGGTGAGGGCACATGCCCAGGTTTCGGGCTTGATCCCCAGTATGGGGAGTGCAGGAGGCAGCCAACTGATGTTTCTCTCTCTCATCAATGATTCTCTCTCTCCCTCTCCCTTCCTCTCTCTCTAAAATCAGTAAAAACGTATTTTAAAAAAAGAAAGAAAGAAAAGAAAAGCTGAAAAGCAAGTGTCTAACAGATCAAACTGTTTCCAAGTAAGTAAACTGCATCCCAAAACAAAGCTCAAGAATATTTATATGGCCCTGGCCAGTTTGGTTCAGTGGTGAAAGCATCAACCCATAGACAGAAGGGTTGTGGGTTCAATTCCCAGTCAAGGGCACGTATGTGGGTTGCAGGTTTGATCCCTGGCCCCTGTTGGGGTCATGTGGGAGGCAACCAATCTATGTGTCTCTCTCACACCAATGTTTCTCTCTCTCTCTCTCTTTCTCTCTCTCTCCCTCCCTCCCTCCCTCCCTCTTTCTCTCTTCCTACCTCCTTCCCTTCCACTCTGTCTAAAAATCAATGGGAAAATATCCTTGGGTGAGGATTAATGACAACAACAAAAGCATATTTATATGAATACAAACATCCAGCATCAGCCCTGGCAGGTGTGGCTCAGTTGGTTGGCCGTTGTCCCATGCATTGTCCCATGCACTGCACCATGCATTGAAAGGTAGCCCATTCCATTCCCAGTCAGGGCACATGCCCATGTTGTGGGCTCAACCCCTGGTAGGGAGCAAGCAGGAGGCAGCCAACTGATGTTTCTCACATCGATGTTTCTCTCTCTCTCTAAAAATAAATTTTAAAAAGTTTAATAAAAACATACAAAACATCCAGCATCAGATAAGGTAAAATTCACAATGTTTAGAGTTCAATAAAAACTTACCAGGCATGCAAAGAAGCAAGAAAATATGACAAACAATGAGAAGAGAAACTAATCAATAGAAATAGACCCCAGAAATTTTACAATGCAGATACCAGAATTAGTAGACAAGGACATCAAAATAATTGTTATAACTATGCTTTTTTTTAAAATTAATTTATTTATTTTTGTTACATATGTTTCTCCTCCCCCTCCAGATTCCCCCCCTTCCCCTCCCTCCCTGCCCTGTCCCCAGCTTTGTTGTCCATGTCCATTGTTCATATATACATGCATATAAGTTCTGTGGTTTATCTCTCCCCCCAACCCCTCTTCTGGGGATTGTCAGTCTGTACCCCACTTCCATGTCTCTGGGACTATCCCATTCCTCAGACTGTTATAACTATGCTTTTTAAAGAAGATAAGTATAGACTGAGCATATTATAGAGACATGGAAGATATAGAAAAGACCCAAATCCATTGCTGAAGATGAAAAATACAATGTTTGAGATGAAAAATACACTGAATGAAATTAGTAGCAAATGAGATATTACAGAACAAAAGATTAGTAAATCTGAAGACCTAGGGACAGAAAGATATATCTAACATGAAACACAGAGGAAAAATAAAAGGCTGAACAACAAAACAAAACATCAGTGAGCTAAGGAATAACTTCAAGCAGTCTAACACACATGTAACTGAAATCTGCAGAGGAGAGGCAGAAACAGGACAAGAAAACAACAGACTACTATCAGGAACACAGATGCAAAAATCCTTGCAAATTAAATCCAACAATATATAAAAGGATTAATACATCGTGCCTAGTGAGGTTTGTTTCAGGAATGTTGGCTTAGCATAACATTAAAATTTTATATGTAATTCACCATATTAACAGAGTAAAAGAAAAACCCTTGATTACCTCAATATATGCAGAAAAAGCACTAGCTAAAACCCAATGTCCATTCCTGATAAAAAAAAAAAAACAAAAACCCATCAGCAAACTAGGAATGTAAAGGAACTTAACCTGATAAAGGGCAGCAATAAAAAATGTACAGTTAACATCATACTTGAAAAACTAATTTCTTCCTAAAAAGAGGACTAAGACACATGATAGCCACTGTCCTTAAGCAATCACTCAACCTCTGTGTAACTGCTACCCCACCTGTAAAAGTTTGTAGCAGGGCTTGGCACAACATAAGTGCTAACAATGATGATGATGGAGTAGACTTAGGAGTTGGCAGAAGGGCTGGAGAGAAAAAATAAATCCAGTAACTTCTCCTCTTTGATCCTCAGAATCAATTACCCCACAGGTTCTGTCTCTACTGCTCACCACTGCCCCAGTGCCTTTTAGAGGTTCACTCAGGAACGTAGGACACAAGATATAACCTTTACATGACAGCCATAAGATAACACCTTCCCCTTCTTTCCTTTATCCCTAGGAATGAAAAAAGCAAATGAAGAAAAAGCACTCTATACATACATTCCCTGGCCCCTTTCTCATATTTTTAATTCTCCCTACCTTCCCCCATCCTTTTTTTTTTTCTTTACCCACATTGCCTGGCTCCTTATACCCACACTACCAGCAGGAAAGGCCAGAATTCAGATCTCATAGTGTCCATTTCTACTGCAGGTTCAATCACTGTATTTCAGGTACTTTATCATGTTATACCTAAAAATTTCAGTTAAAGAAATAGGAGCCAGAAACTCCAAAAGGCAGGGCTTTGGGGAAATAACTGGAAGCAACCTATTGTGAACATGAAATTTCTTTGTAATATGCTTGATATTCTCCATGATGCATCTGGTTTTAATATAAAACTATTTCTTGCCCTGGCCGGTTTGGCTCAGCGGTTAGAGCATTGGCCTGCGGTCCAGAGAGACCCAGGTTCGGTTCCCGTTAAGGACGCATACCTCGGTTGCAGTTTGTCCCCAGCCCTGGTTGGGTCGTGCGGGTGGCAGCCACTCGATGTGTCCCTTTCACGTCGATGTTTCTCTCTCTCTCTCTCTCTCTCTCCCTCCCACTCTATCTGAACAACAACAATATATATATATATTTCTTTAGCCCGACCAGTGTGGCTCAGTGGATTGAATGTCACCCCATGAACTGAGAGGTCCCAGTTTGATTCCCAGTCAGGGCACATGCCGGGGTTGTGGGCTCCATCCCCAGTATGGTGCGTGCAGGAGGCAGGTGATCAATGTTTCTCTCGCACATGGATGTTTCTCTCTCTCTCTCCCTTCCTCTCTCTCTAAAAAATCAATAGAAATATATTTTTAAAATATTTCTTCAAATCTTTACATAAAATCAATGTTGAGGAAGACATACTATATCTTGCTCTCTGACTCTATATACCCTACAGAATGAAATAAATAATCTGAGATGTAATGTTGCTTCTCTTTAAGCATGGTTATCCAAGGCTGCTTGGCCCAGCATCACATCAAGAATTGACAAAGCACACCTGTTATTAAAAGAAATTCACCTCTCTAGATATTTTTATTTCTCTGCCTCGTGCATAATCTTTGGTCTACATTTTCTAATATCCTAAGGTCCTTGATTTAACACACATATCTCTCTTTAAATTGGTATTATGAATCTTGCTCAATCTTTGGCCTTTTTATCTTATATAAACTTTTTTACTGTGAGGGATAACATACATACAGAAAAGCATACAAAACGTAGTTCAGTGAATGACAAAGTCATTGTTATTCAGGTTAAAAATCAAAACAATGTCCTCAGAAAGTCTCTTTGTGTCACCTCCCACACACTACCCCTTCCCTCTCCCTCTCCACTATATTGACTTCAGTTACGATAACTCCGGGGTTTTTTTGTGTGTTTTGTTTTTTATCCTCACCCGAGGACATTTTTCCATTTTTTGTTCAGATAGAGTGGGAGGGAGGGAGAGGAAGAGAGAGAGAGAGAGAGAGAGAGAGAGAGAGAAACATCGACATGAAAGGGACACATCAAGTGGCTGCCACCACCTGCACAACCAACCAGGGCTGGGGACAAACTGCAACCAAGGTACGTGCCCTTAGTGGGAACCGAACCCAGGTCTCTCTGGACCGCAGGCTGATCCTCTAACAGCTGAGCAAAACTGGCCAGGGCGATAACTCCGTTTTTTAACTGTTATGCAAGTGGAAGTATGCTGTGTATACCTTCATTTCCTATTTCACAACATTCTGCTTGAATATTCATTCAGGTAGCTACAAGTAGTGCATT